TTGGCAGCTGTCTTTGAACCTACTTCCCAGTACTCAGCCTGCAACCACCTCTCCAATTCCTTCTCATTAACAAGAATTAAAATAAAATAGTGGGCCACTTATTGCCTATGTGACCATACAATTTGATTAGTATGTTTGGTGCTGATTCCCATGGACTTCCCTCAAATTGCATGAATTGGTTTGTGAGATCCTCATCTTTCCTCTTCAAGAAAGCTATTTCTCTGTCAGCACCCCATCCTGATCATCAAAACTGTCAAGAACTGTGAAGAATCTGAGATTTTATCTATTTTTTAAATAAGATAAGAAGTTAGCTTGTCACTGTTTCATGAAAGACATGAGAAGACACAAGACTCCTGGGTCAGAGACAAAGGACTTCTTTCTGTTCCTCATGACACAGAATGAGCATCATCATAGTTTCCCTTGTGATGCCAAGACAGACAGGTGATATACCTGCACACTCAGTGGAGGTGCCTTACAGGAGAGGAACCCTGGACCTAGGGAATCCAAATCTTTTATAATGGGCAGTAAAGATGCCTGCCCATTGCACCAAAGGGAGACACTATATCTTCTAATGCTTGTGGCTATCATATATCCTTTAAAAGATAGTCCAGAACAAAGGCCATCAGTGCTTCTGCTTGCAGTATTTGCAGAGAGACCCATGGAGAATTGTCTCTAAATGCGATATGCTTTCTCATTTGATTCCTACATGGTAGAGGATATCATCCCCATTTTACATATGAGAAAACTAAGGCTCAGGGGAAACATGAAATGCCTAAATTCACACAAACTGGAAAATGATGGAGCCAGGATTCAAATCTGTGTCCACTTTCACTTCTCTCTGAAGCTTGCCCCTCCATCATCATTAGTAGCTCAGGCATAAGGCTTGATGGAGAAGGTAGAGAAATCTCTCTGTCCAAGGATGGTTTTCATTGGCTTTGTGGACTTCAGGTACCTAGTGTCTCCTCTTTCCCCAACAATGGAAAATTTAAGAACAAACTTACCTCAAAGGCCTTTGGTTTCTCCTGGTCACTTGGGAGCCCACCCCCAAGGCTTAGGAACTGTCACAGAAGATGTGTGATGACATCTCCTGCTTCCTCTGGGTCTAGGCCAGCCCTCACCTAGCAGAGCACCCAGGCTCAGACTCAGACAGAACAAAGTTTCCCAGACATATGGACTGACAATTCCTCAATTTAAAAATCTGCGTGGCTCAAGTCTTTTCTGCAAGCTGTGACAAGGACACCTCTCATCATGGCCAGGGTGCAGCAGGGATCCTAGGTGTGGGCCCACATGGTGCCAAGGGGCCCTAGGAGCTAGACCTCAGAGCCCCTGGGCCCTAGAGTGAAGAGGGTTCAGGAGCCACCAGGACAGACCCAGCGCCATTCAGCTTTTTGGGGGACCTGATGTGCCTTTTGACATTCATTGATATTATATTTGGAGCAGCACAAAGCAGAGAATTCTTAAAGGGTCAAAATAGTTGTCATCAGGGCCAGGAATGGCAAACATCCTTGCCTCATCGGTAGAGAAGGAAAGGAAATAAGGAACGGGAGCAGTCAATAATTCCAAAAGATCAGCTTCTAATACACACACTGTACTTGGGAAACACCAAAATGCTGCCCATTTTAGGCAACTTGAGGAACTTGGCCAACATTGAAAGGCCTATTTTGGAAGAGTTTTTTTTTTCTCCTCTGCAAAGACTCATGAATAGTTGTGTTTCTGTTAAAATGTTAACGAAAATGCATCTCGGACTGTGTGCATATATGCAGTGGTGTTTATGTGCGTGTTTTCCCAGGCATCCCAAAAACTCCATTTTGTTCATTGCTCAATGATGAGAAATAGAAAGCAAAACTATTTTAAAAATAAACATTTCCAATTTGCTGGTTCAAGCAGAACTGACCCAAAAAACTGGCAACAGACATAATATTTTATGTATTTAATTTTTTTAAATTATAGAGACAGAGTCTCACTATGTGGCCCAGGCTGGACTCAAACTCCTAGGCTCAAGTGATCCTCCCACCTCAGCCTCCTAAGTAGCTGGGACTATAGGCGCACATCACCATGCCTGGCCCAAACATGATTATTTTAAAGATTCAACAAATACTAAACGTCACTCACGACAGGCCAGGCCCTGCTTAACTACTTCACAAATATTAACTCATTTAATTTAATTTCCCTAACTACCGTATTATTATGCCCATTTTACCAGATGAGAAAACTGAGGCTCAGAGACTATAAGTATCATGCCTAAAGTCACTTAGCTCGAGGAAGAGCTGGGCCTGGAGCCCCAGAAGTTGGCTGCAAAGCCTGTGTGCTCAACAGCTGTGGAAAGTCAAGTTCAGAAGTGCTGCCACCAGCAGGGGTGTGGGGGTAGGAACATCAGCTCTGGAAGGAGAGATCTGAGTGTGAGACTCAGCTCTGATACTTACCAGCTGTGTGACCTTGGCAAACTTGTTTAACTTCTCTGAGACTCATCTATAAAATGGGATAAGGATTACATGACATAATATAAACATAACAAGTACATAACAAGCCCCTGAGTAAATGATTACTGCTATTATTATCACTAAGCGAAGTAAGAGTTCTGTTACTAGCAATCGTCCCAGCTCCTCTCTGCAGGTTCAACATAAAAGTCCACTGTATCTGCCTCTCTTGGGAGCATAAGGCTTTTGAGTGAGGGGCAGGAGTTCTCTTGAGACCCTGAATTCCCCCAGAAGCCATCTGGCTCAGACTTTTCATTTGAAGGGCAGTTGAGGCCTGGGAAGAGGGGAAACTCTCCCAGCGTCACTTACCCAGGTCTCCCATGGTACCCCAGGGAGCCCAAGGAGGTCAAGTTGAAAACCATCTCTCCTCTGCTCAGACCATGGACTCCCAGTCTCAGGCTCAGAAATCCTGGGCACTTTATCCACATTCCACTAGCCCCATTGATAGTTGTTTTAAAAATGGTTAGAGAGGGCCTAGCACGATGGTTCATGCCCGTAAACCCAGCACTTTGGGAGGCCAAGACAGGCAGATCTCCTGAGGTCAGGAGTTCGAAACCAGCCTGACCAACATGGAGAAACCCCGTCTCTACTAAAAATACAAAATTAGCTGGGAGTAGTGGCGCATGCCTGTAATCCCAGCTACTCAGGAGGCTGAGGCAGGAGAATCTCTTGAACCTGGGAGGCAGAGGTTGCGGTGAGCCGAGATTGCGCTGTTGCACTCTAGCCTGGGCAACAAGAGGGAAACTCTGTCTCAAAAGAAATAACTAAATAAAAAGGTTAGAGAGGCTACCAGGCTGTTTCAGTCTGTGTCGCTAGTGGTGATCAGCCTAGCCTGAACACCCCCTCCCCAACTCCGCAACAGCCTCCTCCAAACCCCCAAATGGACCAGGATGACACACACCCTCCTCTGGGTTCTCAGGGCTGCTGGAAGTCAGCAAGGGCTCAAAATCCCAGGGTGAAGGATTTAAAAACTTTGTCTTCATTTGCCTTTCATTAAAAAGCATAAGGAATGCAACAATGAGAATGTGCTTAACGACACAGGACTGTGCACTTAAAAATGGTTAAAACGGGCCGGGCGCGGTGGCTCAAGCCTGTAATCCCAGCACTTTGGGAGGCCGAGGCGGGTGGATCACGAGGTCAGGAGATCGAGACTATCCTGGCTAACATGGTGAAACCCCGTCTCTGCTAAAAATACAAAAAACTAGCCGGGCGTGGTGGCGGGCGCCTGTAGTCTCAGCTACTTGGGAGGCTGAGGCGGCAGAATGGCGTGAACCCGGGAGGCGGAGCTTGCAGTGAGCCGAGATCACGCCACTGCACTCCAGCCTGGGAGACACAGCGAGACTCCGTCTCAAAAAAAAAAAAAAAAAAAATGGTTAAAACGACAAATTCTATGGTATGTATATTTTACCACAGTAAAATGTAAAAAACACAGGGAAGATAGAAAAAGTTCTGAAGATGGATGGAGGTGATGACTGCACAACAATATAAATGTATTTAATGCTGCCAAACTGTTCACTTAAAAATTGTTAAAATGGGAAATTTTATGATATCTATGTATACATACATATATATATATATATGTATTTCACCACAATTAAAGCAAAATGAAACATATGATCCACACCCCAACTCTTCTTGCCTCTCAACTGCTTTGCTCAGGCCAGTGCTGGCTTCCCAGAAGCCTTTGCTGCATTGCTGAGGCTGGCTCTGGAAGGAGCTTCAAGTCATGTATTGGCCTCCCTCTGCTACTGCCTTGCTGTGTGACCCTAGTTAGCGCCCTGCTCTCTCTGGGCCTCAGTTCAGGGATAGCCATGGCACTAGATGCACTCTGAGGCCTTTCCCAGTTCAGATGTTCCCTAAGTCTGTGGTTCTAATTCATCCAATGGATGCCCCCCCACCCCGCCCACCTCCCACCACAAACCAAGAATTCTTTTTTTTCTCCCGTACTTTAACAGATGCAAACAGCAATTCTTGCCATCACACTCTCAAGAGGGTAGAATAAGGCTGCAGGCCATGAACCCCCAGAGCCTGGGCCTGAGGGTGGGGGAGGGGTGAGTGATCTTAGGGGCCTGTAGGGAGAAGCCAGCTGGGGGTTGTCATGGAGACACATGACGCTAATAAACATACCCCCCTCTACATGCCTGCTTGGCCCTTTAAGAGTTTATATAACTCGCCCACATCCACTACCTCCATGGTCTTTTCATTCCACAAACATCCAGGGAGTCCATCCTTTGTATCCGCCACTAGGCTGGCCCGTGGCCACGGGAGCCAGTGGGATATGAGACATCTCTGGCTCTCAGGAGTCTCCAGGGGAAGAAAGAGTAGACACCGGTGTGGTCAGAGCCTGGATGGGGTAGGCTGGGAGATGATTGAGAGGAGGGGACAACTTGGGTAAAGGCCTGGAAGACACAAACAGACAGAGAGAGAAGTCTGGAGTGCAGTGTTTGAAGGGGGTTGTCTGGGGTTGAGATAGGGCAGAACCACATTCCATCAGTGCATCACAGGCCACTCTCAGAGGCAGGTCTACATCCTCTGAGGGTACAGGGAGTCATCCTGGCACTTGGAGGAGGAGTGGGTCAGATTTGGGTGCAGACCATCCCTGCGGGTGGAGGATGGATTGGTGGTAGCAAGAGAGGGGCAGCAGCTGTCAGGGGAGGGATGTGACTGTGGATCATTGACTCAACTCCCCAACTGAGGAAACAGGGGTTCACACAGGTCAGGTGACTGCCCAAGGCCACCAGCAGGCTCAGGGATCTGGATCTGAGTCCTCACACTTGAGGAGTCCCCACACCAAAGCTTTACTCACCTCCCTGAGCTGCCTTCCAGGCCCCCAAGTCATACCTGTGAACACCTGATGAGTGCTTAATACAGGCCAGGTCTGAGTGCCTGACAGGCATGAGTTCATCTAATCCTCCCAACAACTCTAGGAGGTAGATACTCTCATATTAGTATTCCTCACTTCTACAGATGAGGAAACTGAGACAGAGAACTCAAGTAACTTGCCCAAGGTCACACAGCTGCTAAGTGGCAGGGTCAGGATTAAAACAAGGCAGCTGCAGCCTAGGCGGTTGGGGCTTTTATGCCCCTTGCAATGTGTGGGATGGGAGTTTGCAGGAGGGGACACATGGGCAGGAAGTGGCCTATGGAAGTGTGGAGCACCAGGAAGTCCCCAGAGATGAATAATGTGTGTGCATGCTGTGTGACCTCAGGCCACTTGCAACCCCTCTCTTGGCCTCAGGTTTTCTCATCTGAGACAAGAACCCAAAATCTCCAGGTTCTCTTCTCTCTCCCCATCTGTTCCTCTCATTCCTTAGGTCAACCCCTCCATTCCTACCCTCAACATACACACCCAGAGACTAAGGCAGGGGAGGTGCTGGAGATCGGAGTGGGGTATGGAATGGAGGGGAGAGGAGAATGTGGGGACTAACCCTTCCCCAAAAACCTAGTCAATTGCAGGAATACCTCTGGGGCATCACCTTGGATTTGGGGGGCAGTAAGTCCTACCAATCTTGTCTCCCAGGGCCTGCAGGGACCGGGCTCCCCCCAGCACTCTGCAGAGAACCCAGGGCTTGTTTAGAAAGTGTCTCCATTGGAGCCTGAGTCACCAGATCCCTGGGTGGTCTAGGGGAAACCACAAAGTTACTGCGAAGCAACAAGACTAGGAGAGGAGGGAGAACGGCAGGTCCTGCCACCGCTGAACTCAGCAGCTAGGCCAACTCCCAGAACTCGGTTTCCCCTTTTGTAAACTGAGGGGTTGGAACTGGACTCTCAGACCCCCGAGAAGGCGGCCACAGGGCCTCTCCCTGACACTTGAGGCCATCTGAGGACCTCAGGGAAGTCCTCAGCTTCGGAACAGGAGATAGCTTCAAGGTTGAGATCCCTGGGTCCCCAGAATTCAGTCTTTCAGGAGGGCATATTGTCCCCCAAGAGACAAGCCCACTCCAGCAAAGCCAATCACAACCAGGGCATGGGGAGAGCTCCAGACTGTCATCTGAGACAGGGGCTTGTTCCTTCCTCCAGCGAGCTTGGACAAATGATCATTAATGTAAGCATCGGCTTCTTTATCTGCAAGGACTCCCAGGGAGTGAGTGAGTGTCACTAGTCATCGCTCCAAGCACATCCTCACAGAGCAGCCTGCTATGAGCCTGCAGAGTTCAGACAGAAGGGCCAAGGCCTGAGCAGTGCGGGGAAACAGAATGGGTAGCGAGCCATGGGGACTTCCACGTTCAGTTTGGGCCTCGGGTTTGCAATGGGAAGGGGTGTAGGAGTTTGGGTTGGCAGCAGAACCAGGAGAGTTTTCCTTGAAGGCCAGGGTGGGGCCAGTGAGGCTTAGCTCTAAGAAGCAAATGTCAGCCAGGCACGGTGGCTCAGGCCTGTAATCCCAGCACTTTGGGAGGCAGAGGCGGGCGGATCACCTGAGGTCGGGAGTTTGAGACCCGCCTGGTTAACATGGTGAAACCCCGTCTCTACTAAAAATACAAAAATTAGCCAGGCGTGGTGGTGGGCACCTGTAATCCCAGCTACTCGGCAGGCTGAGGCAGGAGAATTGCTTGAACCCGGGAGGCGGAGGTTGCAGTGAGCCAAGATCACACCACTGCACTCCAGCCTGGGCGACAGCGTGAATCCGTCTCAAAAAAAAAAAAAAAAAAAAAAAAGTCATCTGCCTGGCTGGTCGCCCTCTGAGAATCTGGGAGACGGAGAGGATGACAACTTTCTATATGCATGCAATAGTCCCCAGGGTAGGGGGCAGGAAACCTGGGTCACACTCCAGCATTCCTTGACTACAGGCTTGAGATGAGCACCTCCCTGCTCCAGGTCTGTTTCTTCACCAATAAAATGGGGCTGTCAACCCATGATGATGGCAGATTATAATGATCACTTCCACATCCAGGCATTGCAGGGTGACTGGCTGCTTCCTCTAATGGCAAGAAGCCCCTCTCAGGAGACTGGCATTGGTGGGCACCAGGCTCAAGGGGAGCCAGGATGGGTTCAGGGCTCAGAGGACCTTGCAATGATCCTTAAGCTGCCCAGATCTGCTCATCTCCCTGGCCCACTGAGAAGCAGCCCACCTTCCCCCCTGCCCCCTGAAGATCACCCCAGCTCCTCATCTTGGTGTGTGAGGGCCGCCCAGCCCTTTCCAGCCCTGGCTCTGTGTGAATAATGGCAGCTGTGTCCTGGTGACAGACCAGGTACTCTGTGGCGTGCTTCACTCTCCCAATTCGTACCTACTTCTGAGGTAGGGGCAATCTTATTCCCATCTTACAGATGGGAACACCAAAGCATGTTAAGAAGTTATTAAGTCACTGAAGTCACTCTGAGTGGCAGAACTGGGATTTGAACTCGGGCAGCCCGGCTCCAGAGCACGAGTGTCTGGAAACTCCCCTCCTGCTTCCTAGTCTCTGCCATCCCCAAACTCTTTGCTCCTGCACCCTCTGCCACCCTTAGCCTGCCAGCTTCCCGCTCATTTGTCCTGTGAGGACCAGAGGTCAAGGCACTGAGCCTCTTAGGAGGCCTCCCGATTCCTCCTTCTCGGCACTCGCATGGAAGTGGTTGCTTATTCCTTTTGGACGTGCACCCACAAACTGCCTGTGAGCCTGTGGTGCCTCCCGTCCTGCCCCCACACCAAGAGCCCTCTGCATACTCCAGTGTGACAGCCATCTCTGCTGAGTGTCTTCAGGTCAGGGCCTCAGTGCAGAGCACCCTGGCGTGAACAGCTGTGGTCAGCCCAGAAGCACCGGCATGCCTCAGTATGGGGACATTATTACAGGGGTGGGGACAGTCTATTCGTAAATAACTTTGGGAAACAAAGTTAAACGGTTTTTCTTCTTGGAGGATGTGGTGGCCATGATTCCTGTCTCCTGGTATTCATGTCCTTGTGTAGTCCCTCCCACATTGTAACAGAGATGGTTTGTATGACAAATAAGTATGGCAGAAGCGATGGTATGTCACTTCTGAGATCTAGTTACAGAAGACAGCAGCTTAGGTTGGGCATGGTGGCTCACATCTATAACCGCAACACTTTGTGGGGCCGAAGTGGGAGGATCATTTGAGCTCAGGATTTCAAGACCAGCCTAGGCAACATGGTGAAATCCCATCTCTACCAAAAGTACAAAAATTAGCCAGACATGATGGTGTGCACCTGTAGTCCTAGCTACTCAGGAGGCTGATGTGGGAGGATCACCTGAGCCCAGGGAGTTTGAGGTTGCAGCGAGTCATGATGGGGCACCTGCATTCCAGCCTGGGTGACAGAGTAAGACCCTGTCTCAAAAAACAAAAACAAAAAACAAAACAAAACAAAAAAACCCAGCAGCTTCACCCTTGCTGTTCTGGATCACTTGCTCTGGGGAAGCCATCTTGCAAGTAGCCCAGTGGAGATGCCCACGTGGCAGGGAACTGAGGGCTCCTGCCAGCAGCTAAGTGAGCGAGCTTGGAGCAGGTCCCCCAGACCCAGTCAAGACTCAGATGACTACAGCCCTGGCTGACAGCTTGATGGCAACCTCACCAGAGACCCCGAGCCAGAACCACTTGGCTAAGCTGCTCCCAGATTCCTGACCTACAGAAACTGTGGGAGATAATAAATGTTAGTTATTTTAAGCTGCTAAGTTTGGGGATAATTTATTATGCAGCAAGACATAATACACAGGACTTCTCAGAGCACTTAATATGTTAATATAAATCTCCAAGAAAAAAGATATACAATGCAACATTCCTCTTAGTTATCTGGCCAAGGAAACTTTCTTTTTTTGAGAATATTCTTCAGAAAGCTGATCTAATGATATGGCTCCGGTCCTACAATTCCATGTAACTTCTAACCTTGATTTTGTCTCATGAGCAAATCATTTATCCTTCCAGAACCTCAACTTTTCCCTTTTACAAAGTAGAAATAAACCATCTGCCTTTACATAAATCATCAATACAGCCCTGGATGGGCAGATTCTGAGCTATTTTTGGCTGGGGGGTGGGAAATAGCCTGTCGAGGTCCTAAAAGGATCTACTCACCATGGGGCTTCAGATGGTTCTGCAAGGTAGCAGGTGGGCTTAAGGCCCATTTCAGTCTTTGTTCCCCAGGTCATTTCCACAAAATGGTGAGAAATAGTGTCTTCTTTTAGCTTGCTCACAGCTCAAAGACGGGAGGCATAGACCTGGGCCCTTCTAGGCTAGGGCATGAACCTCCTCCATGAGACTGGAAAAGCTTGTTCAGGATAAATGGCCAGTACATTTTCCCTTTCCTCACCGCCATCCCTATCCAATGGACACACCACAGCCATGAGCAGGAAGGAACAACAGAACCTTCTCTGGTTTACTTAAGAGTAAATGTGACTTTCCTCCCTTTTCAATCCGTTCTATCTTTATCCAATAAAACATGAAAACTCAAGTCAAGTTTCAGGGTACACGATGGGTCAGAAATCCGCTGAAGCCTTACCTGCCCCTCTTTGTAAAAAGAAGACAGTTTAAAAAAAACTATAATGCGAATACTTTATTATCGAGTGACTGGTATTAGCTTTTTGACTGGGCTTTAATATCTCAAAAACCATACACCAAACCCAGGCTTTTCCACCTAGCTCTGCTGTATCATTTTCTTTATATATATATATATATAAAAGTAAAGAAGAGGAAGGAGGAAGAGAAAGAAAATATATCTGTATTGAAAGAATTATAAGCCAAAGTGCGTCTTTCTTGTTTTGTCCATATACACACATTGCACCATACATAAATAATTACATTGTAAAAATGACTCCATAATTACAAGTATAATATATATTTCCATATAATATATAAAACTTTATATTAAATCTAGGTAGATGATATCTGGGGGATTTTGTCCGTGGGGGCTGTGTCTCTGGGC